AAAAAAAGACCTCTCCTGGGCTTAAAACGGCCCAGGGATCCCAAAAGCATGGTGACTCCCCATGCCCTCTAGGGAGCATTTAAGAGCAAATTATATATTTGAGTGTTTGCAACAGTTGTGATCTCCAAGGTCTCCCCATGGGCCAACACAGACCCGTAGTTTCTGATAGTTGCCCAGCTGTTTTCTAACAAGTGTGTCATACTGGCTCACATCAAGAAGGTGAATTTAATTTCTTTATTAGGTAATATGACACTAGTTAGTTTGATAAAATGCATTCATTCTTTTAAAAAACCAGATACAACAACAAATTGAAAACAACAATATTAAGAAAAAACAGTAAGATAGTAATCCAGTATAAAAGATATATAAATGCCAGTACCAGTTAAAAGACAACTTAGCTAAAACCAGTCCAAGTGCCCTCATCAACAGAGACTGATCATAAAATTATATTAATAGGGTATCAAAAAGGGAGAATAAAAATGTCTTTTAGTTTGGCAACAAAAAAAAAACATGTCAAAGTAGTTGCCAGGCAAGCCTTTCTCGGGAGGGCATTCCATAAATAGTGGAATAATACATGAAAAATAGTGGGAAAAGACTCAGTTGCCATCAACAGAAACAGCTGTAAAAGATTTAATCTGTTCTTTTTTGCATGCACCAGTCTCACTCCAGTCCAGTCTCCATGTACTTATTTGTGAGAGGGAGGAAAAGAAAAGAAAGGAACATATTTAAAGTAAGTTGCAGGTTTAGTTCTGAGTTCTCTTGGGATCAAGTTAGGCTCTTTCATTTCAGAGCTGGGTCTGGAGTTCCCTTTTGGTTTCTTCTCCTGCTCTCAGAAGGAAAAATGTGTTCATGTTTAACATTTAATTAGAAGGCTGTGGAGTGGGGATGACATTATAAATCAAGAACAAAAAGTAAGTGTGGATTTCTTCATGTCACCACAACCTCTGTGATAAAATTGAAGCTTCCTTGGATAACGGCTACAGTAAATGCCATCAAGAAAAAACGCAAAGAACTGTGGCAAAGTATTTGCCACTCATGAAATGGATTGTCATCCATGGGAACATTGTTAAATGTTACATATCATATTGGTAAATACTGGAATTCTGTACTGGGGCAGGCAACAAATGCATAACCATTGAGGCACAAGACTTTTTGGGCCCATTAGGCTGTTCATTCATGTAGGGACTCTCATGGTCTCTAGTTTACAGCTCCTTATGGAGTTGTTGCCTCAGGCAATCCCACTTCTTGTTGCTGTGTTCCTTCAAGTCATTTATGACTTACAGCACTCCTAAGGCAGACCTATGATGGAGTTTTCTTGGCAGAATTTGTTCAGAGGTAGTTTGTCCTTGTTTTCCTCTGAGGCTGAGAGAGACTTTCCCAAGATCACCCAGTGGGTTTCCATGAGTGAGCAGAGATTCAAACCCTGTTCTCCCAGTGTCTAGCCCAACACAAAAACCATTATACCATGCTGGTACCAAAAGTGGGTTCTTCCAGACCTTATTCCACCAACTATGGGGTTATCCACTCGGGCACAGTTTCACCAACTCAAAGCCATTTCAAAGACTTCCATATTCCCTATGAGCTTAGCTGGCTGAGGACAGGTTTTGTCAACAATATACTGCAGTGAATTCTTTACAACACACACACACCTAAACAAGCAGATTGACAGAGCTGCCTGCTTTGTGGTCTCTCCTTGGAAGCCTGGCTGTGGGGATTGCCATGATGAGTTTCAGCACTTCAAAATTTACCACTACACCGCAATCCTCATTTGCTTGGATCTTACAGCACCAGGGCTTTTATTGATTTCAACTTGCATCTGCAATACCTACAAAATAGCTATTTCATTCAGTTGTTAGATAAGATTGGAGCATTTGGGGAAGGCAGGCCTCAAAAGGGTCTAGAACAGGGGTAGGCAACTTTTCCCCTTTAAGGGCCAAGGGACTTCACCTCCCAGAATCCCAGGAGCTATTGGCCAACATGGGACTATTGGCCAACATGGCTGAGGCTTCTGGTTGCTGAAGTCCCTCAGCCCTTAAAGGGGAAAGGTTGCCTACCCCTGGTCTAGAAACAACAGCCTTCTCTTAACTCAGATGTGATGGTGAGGAGTCCTTATTATCAGCTTTGGCTGACATACCAGCTTTGCCTCTGCATGAAATTAGAAGGCCTAAATATGGTAGCATATACACTAGTAACCTTAAAATTGGACTTTTGTTATGTGATGTACATTGAGCTACTTTTGTGCCAAGTTCGGAAACTCCAGTTAGTTCGAAATATGGCAGGCAAATTGATCACTGGTACATCCATCAGTGAGTATATCACACTCCACTGGGTGCCTGTTAGTTTCCAGGCAAAGTACAAAGTATTGGTTATTACCTTTAAAGCCTTGCATGGTTTGGGTTACCTACAGGACTTCCTCCTTCCATATAAATCCACACTGTACATGTAGGTCCTCTGGGTGACATTTACTTCAATAGCAAGGTCTAGACTGGCAACTGTTACCCAGAGCACCTTTTCCTCTACTGCCCCTAGACTGTGGAATGATCTGCTGGAAGAAATTTGACAGTTATGCATGCTGCCTGAATTTAAAACAGTATTAAAGACCTATATTTTCCAGAAGGTCAACCCAGTTAATCTTAAACTATGCATTTTAAATTGGTATATTTTTATTTTATGTCTGAATGATTTTAATGTGCAATGGTTATCTTAATCTTACATCACATGCTTTGCTCTATGCTGTTAAATGGTTTTATGTGTTTAATTATATACTGTATTTTAAACAATGGAGATTATCACATAGGAAATCCACACTGGGATAGATGCTGGTTGTAACTGTCTGGAATGGATCTTATCTCAAGGCCAGGAGCCCATGCAGTAGGCAGCCTGTATCCAACCCAGGCTTCTCCAGCAGCTTTTCAAGAATAGGAAAATCATATTCATTAAAAGCTGGCGGAGAAGAGCCCAGGGTGGATACAGCCTCTCTACTGCTCAGGCTCCTAGCAGTGTGATAAGTGGTATTTTCCCATTCTTGAAAAACTGCCGGAGAAGCCCAGGTTGGATATGGGCTGCCTATTGCCTGGGCTCCTGGACATGCAATATGTGTGCCTTCAAGTTATTTCTTATTTATGGTGACCCATGGGGTTTCCTTGGCACAATTTGTTCAGAGGAGGTTTTCCATTGCCTTCTCCTGATGCTGAGAGAGTGTGACTTGCCCAAGGTCACTCAGTGGGTTTCATGGCTGAGCAGGGAATCAAACCCTGGACTCCAGAGTTGCAGTCCAACACCCAGACCACTATGCCACACTGTACATCATAATACATACATCCCAGAAAGTACAAAATGGTGGCATGACAATTTCCCATTTATTATTATTATTATTATTATTATTATTATTATTATTATTATTATTTGTTGCTGTTGTTATGCACCTTCAAGTCATTTCTGACTTATGGCAACTCTAAAGTGAACCTATCATAGGGTTTTTTGGACAAGTTTCTTTGGAGGGGGTTTACCATTGCCATCCTCTGAAGTTGAGAGAGTGTGATTTGCCCAAGTTTAGCCAGTGGGTTTCCATGGCCAAGCCAGGATTCAAACTGTGGTCTTCCAGTGTCCTAATCCAAGACTCAAATCATTACACCTTGCTGGCCCTCATTTAGTATTTATGTTATGTCTCTGTTTTAATGTTTTAATGGCTCTACTGGACCAATCAATACTATTTAATGCTAATTCTCCTACTTGTAAAAACAAAGGGGCAAAACTGATGGTGGTAAAGGGGCTGCTTAATGCTGCCCTTTGATCACCAGGTTGGGGCTGCGGCAACCACAAACCATGCCCCCAACCTGGCATTTTTCTGGTGCAAAAAGAAGTGGCAGGGAAAAGGTGCCTTTGCTGCCATGGCAGTGGTTTTTCCACATTTCAGCAGCATGAAGCATCTAAATTCCATGCCACCAAAATGCCACCACCATGTGGTCAGTAGGGCAGCTTCACAGCAGCCTCCCAACATCCTGGGGGTGTGTGTTATGTGTATACCATGCCCCCAAGCTGCTGGGAAGCCAGCTCTTTTTGCCAGTCTGTACCAGCACAAAGTCATATTTCTTTGTTAGCCTGAATTAGAAATTAACATACTATGTAAAGGGACACCATCAGATTTATGAAAAATATCAAATAACTACATTAAATAGTCTTTGGGGTTTATCACACTCTAAATAATGTGACTTATCCATGACAGGATGCAGTTGCTTTTGGGGCTAACAGTGGGTATTATTGCACATGAAATCACCACCGCTGCTGCTGGGCAACCAAACCAGGTCCCAGACATGTTCAGCTGGCCACTTTGCAAAAACAGCAAGCTCCTATTTTTGCAAACCGGCAAGCTGAGAATGGCTGGGACCCAGGCTGCAGCTGGGTTGCACTCACCTGGAGGCAGCAATTTCACATGCGATAATACCCCTTGTTAACCCCCAAAGTGAATATATCCCATTGGGGATAAGTCTCAGTATTTAGAGTGCGATAACCTCCTTTTTCACTAACTGGGAAACATTAATTTTTTTCAGTGCTAGGGAGGCCAAGTAGCATTTTTTTTTTCCGACCATACAAGTAGCTTTTTAGTTAAGTAAATTAAGAGGATATGCATAGAGTTCTCTACTCATGTGCTTAAGCATCCACATGCTTCCATAGGTACCTGATTCAGTCCCTGTTTCTTTCTTCTCAACCCTCAACAATCTCAAGAGCTTTGTGGTGTCATACTAAATTTCAGTTGGCTTGCAAGCTGCACACATGGCAAACAAACCTCAATGCAGATCAAACTTTGAGACAATCCACTCCACCTCTTTTCTTCCTATACAAATTTAGTACTGTTGATTATTCCTTACCCAGGCAAATATTGGGAAGGCTTGGACTGGGATGACAAGGGGTCCCTCCATTATTCACTGTTTGCATGAGGCATTGCTTTTGTTAACATTTAGCAGTTGAGGCCTGGTTTCAAAGATAAACTATAGTGAAATTTGATCCTCATAAACACAACACTTTACTCTTCTTCTCAAGAAATCCAGCAAAACTGATCTCCAGATCATGTCCTGGGGTTTTCTCAATGTATATCAAATGTAGCATGTAAATTTTTTTCCTCTGGCATTCTCATTATTCCAGTGAAGAAACAGATGAGGCATTTCAGAATGCTATTTGCGGTGGGGCCTCAGCTATATAATCTGAAATGGTTTAGCGATGAGCTTTATTCAGTTTCATGTTATGTAGAAATTTAGATGCTAAGCAGATGTGCCCATTCAAGAGAGAGAAGAGGGGGTTCTCATGGATTTCCTATGGAATTTATAACAGGGGACAACTGGAAGCATAAACTGTGATTTTGTTGTTGCTATTGTTAACTGCCTTCGTGTCGGTTAACCCATCATAATCCCACAATTGTGTTAATGGTTTTCACACAACATCATTAAAGTGCCATTATCCCGTGAATAGCCAGGCAAGAAACAGCAACAACTCATTCACAGAATTTTCCCATTAATGAGTTTTTGCTTTTTATTACCTGGTTATTCCCTGGTTATTCACGGGATAATGGCTCTTGTGTTAATCATATTTTAATCATGTTTTAATCTTATTTGCACAATTTTGATGGGCTAATCACCCAGTTTTCCCCAATGTAATAAACTCCTATGACAGCAACTTTTAGCCCCCACAGTAAATATGTTTTTCCCCATGAATTAATTGAAAGAGCTTTACTGTGCTAAATTTTGCTTGTGTTTTATGGACATGTTACTGAATATTATCACTCATCAGCAATGCTGATGAGGGCACATTTCCTTTGTTAGATGTGACAGGGAAAAATACAAATGATACAAATAATCTGAGAGTTAGAGGAGATGCAAGCACTGGTCACCTCCACTAGCAACTCACATAGAGATTATTTATCATTGTACCTGAATGCAAGTGTGTGTTTTCTAGTTTGTACAGTTAAAGGAGAATCCATGATGAGAGAACTCTCTGCTGGACTGCCTTAGCACTTCATATCAGTATTTCAGTCTCTCTGTAGTTCCCACCAACTGTTTATAGGGGAAGGGTGAGAATATTGCTGAATCTTGTCAGTTCTTTCCTCTTCCCTTCATCTCTTCCACCCACGGGTTCCTTGAGGAGGACAAAGAACACAAATAATTCCTATGATAATTATGAAGATGTTATTTAGACCTAAAGCCTATTGACAGAACCACTGCACCAATAGCTGAATGGGTTTGATCTTATTGGGATTAATAATAGAAGTCAAGTCTTAGCAGCCTATTTCTTTGTGTTTTCCCTTTATACCTGTTATTTTTGAGTAGGATTCAGATCTAGCCATATAGTTGGCCCTTGGTATCCACTGGGCTTTGCTTCCAGGACCCCTGTGGATACCAAATTCTGTGGGTGCTCAAGTTCTATTAAATACAAGGGCACAGTAAAATTGTGTCCCTTATATAAAATGCCAAAAATCAAGGTCTGCCTTTTGGAATTTATATATTTTTGAATATTTTTCTTCTTTTTTTATCATAAACCCCTGTACATTATGTAAAAATAAATCAGAAAACAGAAGACATACAAACAAAACACAAACAGATATACTAATATGACACCATGCAAAAACTTGCCTGGAAAAGCTGCCATTTCTTCCTTGATTTGGTTTTCTACAAGTAAAATGAAGCTGCTGCCCATATTCTGAATGTTATAGCTGACAAAAGTCTGTTTTTTAGTCTTGCTGGCTAATCTTTGAGCTAAAGAATTGGAGGTACTGTCAGATGCATCGCCAAAGAGTAAGGTAGATGCTGGAATGGAGTTGTGTGGGGTGCACATGGCCAGGGCCAGGTTGCCAAGGTGGGCCTGGTCCCCAACCCAAAGGAAGACCAAGTCCTAAAGGTGCATGGTGTGAAAGTGGACCAGCTGCTCTGCCAGGCACCTGCTAAAGCCATGCAAGCGGATGCCTCCATCCTCCATTGCCAGAGAAATTTGGGCCAGACTTTAGGAAGGCCAGAGCCATTGAGCCCTGAGTTCAGCTGTGGGTGTTTGAATTTGTGGATAAAGAATCTATGGATATGGAGGGCCAACTGTTATTAAAGGAGACCCGTTGAAATCACTTAGGGCCGATGCAGGGAGGTGGACTTGGGCTGTGGCAACTATACACTGCTGCCCCGATCCTCCTTTTTGCCACCCCCAAAAGAGCAGGCAAATGCTGCTCCTTTTTGGAGCAGCAAAAAGCCGCCCTTAGAGCCACCACTGCAGCTCTTTTGCACTCCTTTGGCACAACGTGTGTGCACACTGCGCCAATGGGGCACCTTGACGTCGCACACCATACAGTCAGGGGCACAGCATCGGGGCAGAGTCAGGGCGGCCAGTGTGTGGTTGCCCCACCCCAACTCCACCCCCAGGCTGGCCTAAAGTTCTGGTCTGCATCAGCCCTTAGTCATGATTAGATCCCATTGAATTTATTTGACCTCCTCTATGTTTGACTAGATTTGGAGCTGACTCCTTAGCACTGGCATTTTTGTTGTTAACTGCCCTCAAATCAATCTCGATTTGAGACCCTAAGGATGAGACATTTCCAAGACCCCCTGTCCTTCACTTCTCTGATTAATTCCTGCAACCTCATACCTGTGACTCCTTCCCTCCACCTTTCCCAATATTATTGTCTTTTCCAATGAGTCCTCCCTTATCATGATGTGTTCTAAGTATGACAATCTCAGTTTGGTCATCTTGGCTTCCAGGGAGGTTTTCAGCTTGATCTGCTCTAGGACTCATTTGTTTGTTCTTTTAGCTGTCCATGGGATCCTCAGCACTCTTTTCCTGCACCACATCTCAAATGCATTGATTTTCCTCCTATCATCTTCCTTAACTGACCAGTTCTCACATCCATACATGGTAATAGGGAATACAATGGCTTGTATGATTATAACTTTTGTTCTTAGTTGTATATCTTTGCATTTTAGAATCTTTTCTAGTTCTTTCATGACCACCATCCCCATTCTTAATCTTCTTCTGATTTCCTGACTGCAGTCCCCATTTCTATCAATGTTTAATCCCAGGTATGGGAATTATTTTATTATTTCTATTTTTTAATGGTTTTTCCAGGTTTTCCAGGTCTGTGAGGTTTTCTGTTAGTACTATGATGTCATCTGAATATCTTCAATTATTGATATTCCTTCCTCCTATTTTCACTCCTCCTCCTTCTGTGTCCAAGCCTGCTTTTCTTATAATATGTTCTGCATACAAGTTGAACAGATAGGGTGAATGGATGCAGCTTTGTCTGACATCTTTGCCAATTGGGAACCATTATGT